ACTAGTACTTGTCGTGTAGAGCAGACAATTTTGGCCCTGTGGACGAGAAAAAGGCGAAAGACACATGAACAGGCATCCGACGCTTTCCGCCCCCTCTTTCCCACCCACGCATGCATCTCCAGCCTCGGCCCTAAGCCTGCCTCTAGCCCTAACCCCTTCCGACATTCCTTACTCACCTCCAAAACCGCTGCGACCGTGGCGTTCCCCCCATCGATGCTCCCCACGTCCTTCAAGGTGAAGTTCACGTCAAAAGAATAGCCTTCCTCGTGCCCGGCCAGCCGGATGGTCCGAGGCGCGGTGAGGGCCAGCAGGCTCTCGGGGGAGCGGGAGGGGAGGGCGTAGATGCGTATAGGCGAGAGGCTGGAGGTGGTGAAGAAGGAGTTGGGATTGGAGAAGAGGATGGTGGAGACGATGGGAATGTGGCCGGCAGAGTCCACGTGTGGTGGGGGGAGGGCGAGACGGACGTTCGTCTGGGGGGATAGGAAAAAGAGAGAGGAAGTGCTTGTCTGTCATCTTATTTTTCTGGAATGTCCCCTCTGCGAATGAGCATTTGCCCCAGGGCGGTAAGTTTGGTGCCCTATACCTCCCTTTCCCCTCCCATAACGCCCTCATCTTTACCACTCGTATGTGTGGCAGGGCCATGTTGAAGCCGTACAGCACCGAAACGGTCAAGACCAGGACGAGGGAGACAAAAAGGATGATGACAGTGCATAAAAGCAGGCGGTATTGCCACTTGGGCCTGTGGAAGGAGGAACAGACAAGGAAAAAGGTGAGAGCTCTGGAAAAGATGGGCGTGACAGGCGGCATGACATGGCACTCTGCAAAAAACAAATGCGATGTCCGCTCATCTGGTAAAACTACTATCCCAAGAAACACGTGATTGCAACCCAAAAACAAAGCGCCGGCACGTAACTCTGGGAAGTGAGGAGGGATAAAGACATCTATCGAAAATTCCCGCCTTTCTCTCAAACAGTCTGCTTACATGTGATGGAGATAGTCTTGAACATGGTGAACAACATTCACCACCTGAGAATGCATGGAGGACATGAGATGTATCTGTGATGGTGTCCCCGGTGGCTTCAGGTCCTCCCCGTCGTGGCTGGATACAGCGGAGTGCCATTCTGAATTACATCGTCGAGTAGAATTACTGGAAGATATGCTCGTGTTACTCGTACTTAATTTGTCTTTTTTCCGAATAAAACTACGGGGAACGCTGGCGTCCGTCGAGTCGGGAATATTAATCTCTCCCAGCTCGGCATCCCCTGTGTCCTGCGTGTCGTGACTGTCTGATCGAGGACGAAGATCTCGAGGCGACGGCGGAGGCATGACCTCTCAATGAATAGCCACCAAAAAATCCCAAACAACGATTGCCTCTGTGAATAAGGATATGTAGGGCGTATTGTGAGGTATTTTCCATCTTCGCTTCAAAATTCCACCAGCAAGCAGGGTTTTGACCGGCAAGTCGTGTGGCGGGGAAACGAGCCTCCCTCCTGATCCCGGGATCTTTCCCTGACCGGTCCCCCGCGTGCACATAATTAGCATTACCAAGTCACCGCCTCTTTCCTACACGTTCCAAAGCACGCCCACGAAAGCCGTCGTCGTCCCCGCCTTCGTCGCAGGACATGTCGCGAAAGTGCGCCGTCACCGCGGGCGGGTCACCCCAGTCGGGAGGCTCATGCCGTGTGGACCGAGAGCTTAAAGGCAAAGACGTCAACACTTGAATATTGCTCAGCGACTAGGCGATCCCCTTGCAAGGCTTGAATTTCCATGTCCCTCACCCGCGCACCTTCTTTTTCTCCGGCGCAGACGCCTTATGGAAGAAGGGGAAGTGCCTGCCGACGAAAGACATGTGGCGACCATGGATGGAATTGCAACTGCGGACGGCCCAGTTTCCTCTTTGTCCTCAACTTCCTCCTTCTCACAAAATTCTGCTGTGGCCTTCGGTAAGTAATTGATCGGTATTAAGGAGATCATGGAATCACTCTACCCTCATCCTGGTAGCATTAGCTGAGGGTACCAGTGTTGCATAGCCTAAAGCAATAGAGTGCACCACTTACCAGGCTCATGAATCCTCATCCTTTTTCCTTTGGGCAATCAGAGATGGACGACAATCTGCTCCTTGAAGAAGCTCGCGTGCCCGAAGCACAAGTCCAGTCTCAAAGATCGCTGGAGTTGGTGGCCAAGTGGCGGGGGAAGGAGATCAATTTGGGGTCAATCCCTGACGGGTAAGGGGAAGGAAAGGAGCTGTCAATTGTGGTTCTCGAAGCCCCTCAGACTGCAGGGATAGATCCGGCTTATTCTCTCGCGAGACGTGATCATGCACAAAAACGGGCAACATGAACATTTTTTTTCTCTTTGTGTACATTGCTGGATGCTTCCATGCCTTTATATCCTCATTCTTGGCTCCTCCGCCCCTTTTCCCCCCTATCAGCTGTACCATTGCCAACTTGAAGATTATCCTTGAAGCCAAAACTCGGGTCCTGCCCGAAAAACAGAAAATCATCGGCCTCACTATCCAAGGCGGTAAAGTGGCCAAGAACGAGCACACGCTGGACCAGCTGGTGGTGAAGGATAAGCGGGGCCCTGTGAGGTTCATGCTCATCGGCACTCCTGAGGTAGGAGACGACGGCGGACCAGCATGAAATACGCTGTTCGGGACGAAGAAGCCCAGTCTGATGCATGTAGTGCAAAGGCGAGGCCTAGGGCGGCTGAAGGGCGGCGATTGATTGCGACGACGAGTTTAAAACCTCCCCATGATGTGTCAAGAGAGGGAGAGAGATGTAGGCATAGGATGCGACGCATTCAAAGTTCCCACAGGGGAGCCCGTATGCTTGTGATTAGATCCGTCGCCGTTGCCTCTTCCTGTGGTATTCATGGAAGGATCCTGCTTGCTTTCTACCCTCCATTCTCCTTTGCTGCCCCTACAGGCAGAAGTATTTGTGGACCCGCAGGAGAAGGAGAGCCTTCCCGAGGTCTTTGACGACTTTGACCTTGATGTTACGGCGCTTTCCGAGGGATGGAGGCGCTCCGTACAAAATAGTGAAAACCTTCGCAAGTGAGTTGATGCCACACTGCATCCCTTTCTCATCCATTTGTCCTCCTAGTCCTCCCCCCTCCCTCGTCCCCCTCCCCCGCCCCTTTGCTTTCCCCTCCCCATTGCACGCCCCGTCCTTTGGATCTCATTGACTCGCCACGTCCCTTCAATTTTATCACAGATTTACAGCGAAGACCCAAGTGCATTTGATCAACCCGCCAAGGGATGGAAAAAGGCTGCTGGTACGGCCATGTGGACTGTGTGCGGACTGGGCAAGAGACATGCGTGAAGAGTGTACCGACCAAATGCGGATCCTCTTTGATATGTCGCGGCTCGTCCTCGCGCACTCATACCTTCATTTCTATGTTTCAACCCTTGTGACATCCAGGTGCTTGATTTGGATCATACTCTGTTGGATTTCAGCTCCCGGGAGGATGTGATCGACAGGTAAGGAATTCGCTGATTTTGTTGCTGCATTTCTTGTCCATATCTTTTGGAGAAAGAAAGGCGGGCAAAAAGGAAATGAGATGTGATGAAGAAGAGACGTCTCAGTCATCGAGTCGTTGCCGTGAAGCTATGCAGCTAACCTTTCCCTTTACGCATTCCAGACTACCCATGGCAGAAGCCGCAAGTGTCATGAAACGCCCTCACCTGGACGCTTTCCTCGCGGCAGTTTACCCCTACTACGACCTAGTGGTGAGATAAAGGGAGGCGATCATTCTTGGTCGTGGCGGCTCGCATGGTATACACTGATGCATCGGTATCCCTGCGTGCATTTTCCCTCCCCATAGGCGTGGAGTCAAACCTCCTGGCGATGGCTCGAGATCAAAATGGTAGGTGCCAGGGAAGCGGAGGATACGTGAGGAGAGCGTAGGGTGACGTGGGAAGGCCCTCCGCTCTATTTTGCTTGGCGGTCCGTCCTTGCTCTCACTTCCTGTACGCCTTGGCATGTTTTTTCCAGGTGGAGCTCGGTCTGCTCACCCATCCTGCCTACCGCTTCTGTTTTGTCCTCGATAAAACGAGCATGTTTCACGTCGAATCCACCAAGGGGGACGGGAGTCTGTTCAAGCACCAGGTGGGTGGCTGGGGGGGGCATGCGGAGTAGAGGACGAGAAGGAAAACCAGACAGATCTGTCATGAGAGTTGTCCAGGAAGGGTTAACCGAACCCTACCAAACTCGCGAATTTTATCGATAATTTCCGCCACCTTTTTCCCTCTTTCAAATATGCCTCGTCTTGATCCACGTATGTTTTCTCTTCCTCCAGGTCAAGCCTCTGCAGCTCATCTGGACCAAATTTCCGCAATGGGACGAAAACAACTCGATCCACGTCGATGACCTCTCCCGGAATTTCGCTCTGAACACGGGTACGGGGTTGGAAGACACAAAATAGGGATGGAGTTTCTATGACACGCCTTGAGCGTGAGGGTGCCTGTGGTAATGCCTTAAATTTTATATGGTTATGCGATAAATTTATTCTCTAATGCGATATGCTCTACCCCATCTCCTGAATACAGGTAACGGACTGAAAATCAAGGCTTACTACCGCAATGCCGAACGAGCAAGTGAAGATCGGGAGCTTCTATATTTGGGACGTTACCTTGTCAATATTGCCACACGACCTGTAGCACCCGCTTCCGGTGGAGGAGGGACACCGGGGGGGGCTGGAAGCGATGCTGGGTCTGGCGGCGGTGGTGGGCCAGGAAGCAGGGGCCGGGGGTGGAGGGGAGGGCTAGGGGAAGGAGGACAAGGAAGAAGTGGAACGAATCAAAGCCTGCGCGACCACAAGAATTGGCGTGACGAAGCCAAGGGGGGGGGGAGGAGGAGGTAATGGGGGATGGGTAGGAGAGCAGTAGGTAGTTCAAATGTTGCGCGTGTAGATATGTTAAAATGAAAGAGGATCTCGTACGCAGGAGGCTAGTGTGACATACGTGGGGAGATGTGCAAAGGTAAACAGACATTGTTGACTTTTATGTGTTGCGAATTATTTGAACCAATGTTCTTCTTGCCGGGATAAACTTCCCTTTGCTCTCCTGTTATATTCACATTCAACAATATTCGTTCTGTCTCAACGATTCTGACATAATCTCTTCCACACTTCATTTCTATCCTTGCTCCATGACGTCTGTCTGCAGATATGTCTTTATGCCGAAGAACCAGAATGTGAAAACCTCCTGACCATGCCGATCTGCGCAGTCTCCAAGACCATGCCCGCGCTACCCAACAAGGCGCTCCGCGCACTTTTCGAGCTGCTGTATCTCTGCTGCAAGCCATTCTTCAGTTTGTGATGTTGAGTTTGCTTGTAACGGCAGAGGTAGAGGTCTCAGATTCTCCACAGATGGCTCTTCATGATTACGTGACGGGAACAAGAAATTCACATATCTTTCCGAGCGTTGCACTTCTCGTAAGACTTTCAGGATCGCCAAAAGGTCAAGCCTCGCGTCTGGTGCGACAGTGTCTTTCTGTCTCAACCGCAAGTCCCGTGCTTTCCACAGGAGCAAGTCCACCCACTCTGTCAAATTGATCGAGCTGTTCGCCCGCATGACAACCTCGCATTGCCGCTCCCATCCACACAGGCTCGCATCGAACGTCTCGCGCAGGTCATACAACCGCTCCTGCACAGCACTTGCCTCTTCTTTAACGAATGTCCAAACCCTGTCCAGGCAGCTCCGGTTGAACCAATTATGATTGATGGAGAGGCATCCTGTCACATTGCGCACCCGATGAAACCACCCAGAAGGGACAAAGATCATCTCTCCCGGGCCCTGACGCACTCTTACAGCTACATCCGACCAGTCCACCGACCCAAACGGTACTGTGGATTGCAATGGCAGATTTTCCGCAAGAAATCCCTTCTGATCAGGATGGATGAGCGTCCATTCCTTTGTGCCTGCAAGGTTGGCCGACCAGGAGTAGGAGCATAACACGTCGTAATGGAGGCCTGTCTGCGTACCAGCTGGTCCGAGATACAAGAAACGGTAGTCGTCTTCCCGAGCTGGATGCCCAGCTTCGCTTGCCGGGGCGTCCCACCAGGCGTTTAGCCAATCATCGGTTAGGGGGAAAGGTACGGAGAACAGGGCAGACGGTGCAGTGGGCCTTGCGGGTGAGACCTCTGCGCCGCACGCACCGACTAGTTCTTCGTGTCTTTCCTCCTGAACGCCCTGTTTTCCAGTAGCCAGGACATCGCAAAGCTCGTCTCCGTCTTTGATACCTGCCTTAACCTCCTCTCGCACGTCCTGCTTGTCATGCTTCCCATCAAGGCCCTTCAACACCTTGACGATGTGCCAGTCTTTGAGGTACAAGCCCCGAGCTTCAGCCTCTCCAGTTCGCCACAGTCTTGCATACTCAGTAAAGTGCATCTCTGTTCGTAGCTCTGTCCCGTAAGAATTGCTCTTGTCTTGGCACGAGTTACTCGTGTGTGAGTGATGCCCTTCCACGTTTTCATGCTTATCATCGTCTCCGGGACACTCTACAACTGGAACCAGTGTCTCCTCCGCAAGTTCACCGCGATTATGTCCACAAATGAAGTTCTCAAACAAATCAAGAGTTTGGAAATTTTCTTCCTCGCCTGGAACCACCCAGGCGCGTGTCGCCTCCCACCGAGATGCTAGATCGGTGATCAAAAAAGGCGCATTGCTGTCAAGAAAATGACGCAAAAGCGCGGGTGAAGCCGAAGCCGACTCAATACGAGGGATCATAAGAATGATCTTTAATTCAGAGACTCCATGGATCCTGTGTAAGGGAAAAAGGGAGAGTTTATGTGCGAGAGCAGAGGGGAGGTTGAAACGCATTGTTAGAAATACCAGTTTGATCACGCGGAGATCAGGCCCTGTCTGCCTAATGCTAAATAGCTCACATGCCTCTTGCTACCTCATTCTTTGAATTGATGGCTACATTATTATTATTAGACATTATTATAATTTAAGCCGATGCCTACATTTTTCTCCGCATTAATCGTTGAAGACTTGTGTGCGCGGCAGCTCATATCTGGGCAGGGACGACAGGAGCAGCCAAAGAGAACGCGGCGGGAGAAAGCCTTCGCAAAATTGTATAACCTCAAAGAATAGTTCTTTCTTTCATCGATAGGTAGAAGACTCCGCTCTCTCCTGGTTATTCTGGCACTGTTCTCCAATGGGTGAGTCATTTTGCCCCGGTTTTGAACGTTCTTTTTCCCATTGATTCCGTCCTTCCCTTGCCTCACCTGCCGTTTCGCCCGACATGATTTATACACTTCAAGTCTTAATAATTAATGGAGAGGTCGTTTCAGACTCAGATCCACGTGCCATCAAGGCCCGGGGAGGCGGAGCACCATCCTCTTCATCACACTCAGCGGCGCCAGGTATAAATCAACGCCGGCAGCCTGCTACCATCCACAACAGGGGGGAGCGGGAAGAGCCGAATGCCTCCAAGGGCACGAGCCAGGGTGAAGGCCGGAGCTTTTTCCAAGGAAAAGCCTACACTACAAGTGAAGGGGCTGTGAAGGACTCCCCTCGTCCACTCTCAACTTCTTCAGTTTCCGAGAGCACGTACTACCCATCGCCTCCCTTTTTGCAGCAGGCAGCTGAGGCTTTGGGCACTCAAGGGCGCTTTGTGACCATCCCTGCCGTGCCCCTTTTGGGCCTATCGGCGAGTACCTTCGACCTTCTTCCTTGTTTGTGTGCCGCGTTGGGTACGCTCTACTTTGGCTGGAGAGGGGTGGGGGCCCTCGTGTTTTTTTACGTGCTAGTCAAGAAAAACCAGGGCGCACGGCACGGTAACGCTGACGGCGTCGGGCAACCTCGAAGGGACAACCACTCACGGGCACGCTAGGAAAGGTCGAGAATTGCGGTGGCGTATAATCCAACGGGGAGGCAATTAAACTTTATGTACAGAGATAAGATTGAACCAAATACGCACCAAAAATGAAAGAAATTACATCGTATGCTGCGTTGTACATTCTATGCCACACAATCTTTTGCCGATAACGTGCACAAAGATGACGCGTGCGGGAGCATGCAGGCATTACCTTCCTACCAAATTTCCCGCATCACGTCCTCCTCCCTCCATTTCGATGTCACATCCCTATTACCTCGTGGCACCCTCAGCGTGTAGCCACAGCACCGCCCACCTTGTCGCAAGGATCAATGTACTTGTTCGTCTGGTCAAAGCTAGGCCGATTCCTCCAACCACTGAGTGACTCCGGAGCTCACTCGATAGGAGACCACTGTCGTCGGCAACACCTTCAGAAGCACCACGGGGTACCCCCGGTACAACCCTCTGAGCCCTCCTCCTTCCCGTACCGCCATTTTGGCCTGGCCCCACAGGCTGGAAAGACTGGTGAAAATGCCCTTTCTCTCCAATTTCAAGCCTTCCCCCCATCCAAGTTGCATCCGACGTCTCAGAAGGTCAAAGGGGTAGGCGATGGATTGAGCCACTGCTCCCGCCGCCAGCACGCTCAAGATGGCGGACGAAGGAGGAGGAGAGGAGGGGGCAGACAGGGGGTCAGTAGGGCGCGCAAGGGGGAGGGAGGAATGTCGGTGGCGGTGGAGGGCGAGGGGGGCAAGGAAAGCCAGGCACGTGTAGTTGATCCCGATGTAGAGGAAGGCCCAGACCGCGCAAGGGGTCGCCCCCCGCCAAAAGGCTCGGGGTCCTTCTAACTTCCAAATATGAAGCGTGGCCTGCCAGACACCCTCGGGGTAGGGTCGGGAGGACGCTGTTTGGGCGGTGATGCGGGCGCGGAGGGTGTCAAGGGGGTGGAAGAGCAGGTTGGCGGCCACCCCCGCCAAGCCCCCCGCGAGCATGTGCTTGGTTTCCCAGAGGGAGGGGCCCGGGTGGGAGGGTGGTAGAATGAGGGGGGGGGGGGCATGCTGGCGCCCAGGTTCAGCGCCCAGGGTGGTAGTGGCGCGCGTCGGGTCGGGCCGCTGGCGGTGGCGGTGGAGGGAGAGGAAGAGGGGGAGGTGGGGGAGAAAGGGAAGGCAGGCGCCAGGGGGCGCAGGGCATGATCACGTAGGTACTGGTACAGGAAGACTTGGACTGCGAGGACAGGTAGGATGCGGAGCATGTTGAGACCGTTGCCGACGAACAGTCCCCGCGTATGCCGATACAGCACCCCCCCCCCAGGGCGGTTGGGTGTAACGGGGGTCCAGGATGAGGCGCAGCGCCCCTCGAAAGCGTAGGGGGGGCGAGAGGCAGGGTACGTTTGGATCAAGATCTTGGCACGCTCGAGCGGTGCGACGGCCAGGCGGGCAACGGCCCCTCCGACACCCGCAGCGAGGACCATCCTCCACACGTCCGGCGACGCGACCTGCAGGGAGGAGGAAGACGGCAAAGCCTCAGACGCCGTCTCAGAAGCAGGACGGGAAGGGCTTCCTCCGGCGCCGGGAGGAGCGTGGCTTATTTCTTCACGGAACGCTTCCCCGTCTGGTCTAGCGCCCACGGCAAGGACCGTCCCAGCTCGCCGCAGGGACCGCTGTGCCCTCTCGCCCGTTGGAGTCACCATCTCCTCCCATCCCCGTCGTAAGCCCACCACCTCCCTATGGATTGATTCCAAAAAGCGACGCACACGCTGCGGGCAGTAGGGCGAGGCCAGGGCCTCCACGAAGGACGAGTAGGAGGCGGTGCTCGAGGAGAGGGACAGAGACGCCTCCTGTAGGTCATGGTCCCAAGAGCTCGCCGGGGCCTTCTTCCTCCCCCACCATGGCCTCTTCTGCCCTCGCTTGCCAAAGACCCGGGCTATGAATCGCCGCTCTTCCTCTTCCTCCAGCGCGTCCTCTGAGTTTCTTCCCCGTTCCTCCCTCTCTTCCTCCCGTCGTGCCGCCTCCCGCAGGGCCGCCCAGTCCCCTAAAGTCACCTGTTGGTAGCCAGAGTCCCTCTGAGAGAGCCGCATGGCCACCTGCACGTGGGGGGAAGGGCTGTGCATCCATATGTCCAGATGCACGAGTTCCGAGAAGGAGACCAGGCCTGAATCGGTCCAGTCCAGGGCTTTGAGGAGACGCCGAGGGACGGGGACAGGAGGGGAGGAGGAGGAAGACGAGGAAGGAGGCGCAGAGGGCGGGGGGAAGAAGGCGGAGAGGAAGTCGGCGTGAGTCATGTACCTCTCTTCCTCCCGACCTTCCCCCCCCCGCTCTGACGTGACTACGACCGAGGCATGGTGGAGGAAGAAATCGAGCAAGCTTGGAGAGCCCCCCTTGCCTGTCAATTGCATGAAATCGAGGCGCCCAAGCGCCCACAGCCGACAGTCCTCCTCCGCCACGACAGAGGCCCCTCGACGGGAATTGAAAAGGGCAGCGGCTTCACCGAAGAAAGCTCCGGGGCCGGCCGACGCCACGAGAAAAGAGGAGGGGGTTGAGGGGGTAACGATCAAGTTGGAGATTGTTTCCGATTGGCCTCGCTCGCCCCCATCTCTCCCAACGCCAGTAAGAGTTTTCTTTTCCTCGATTGGATTGAGGGGGCTAGCAAGCGCACGGGGCCTTGCTTTTTCCCGGACAATCCGCGCCTGCCCCTTGTCGAGCACGTAAAAGCATTCGCCTCTGTCTCCCTGCTTGACGATGTTCTCCCCCTTCTTCACCCGCAATAGGAAAAATCGCTCCATAGCCCTCTCCTTCTCCTTCTTTCCACGACCACCCAGGGCGGCGAAGTAGGGATGGCTGTCGAGGACCGAGCCCAAGCGCTCCTTCTCTGAAGGTGTTCGGGGCCGCCCAGGGGTCTCTCGGCCCCGCAGCAAAGTCGATATGTCCTTGCCGTGGACGCGCCAGAGGCGGACATGGTCCCCCCGGGCAATGGCCAGCAGGGAGGAAGGTGAGAGGGAGGGAGAGAGGGACGACGGAGGGCATCCCGGCCCTCCGAATGCCATGCCTGGACCGAGAGTGGCCAAAAGCCGCTTCTCACGTCGACACCTCGGCTGGGAGGGAGGGAGTCGATGGTCAGGGGGGGGTACAGGGGGGGTCGCGGAGGCCGAAGTCGAGTCCGCACAAACGGGTAAGGATGTTGAATTCCTCTTCCCTCCTCTTCGATCGGCATTACTTGTTGTCCATTCGGGCCTTGACGCGCCAAATCCCTCCCCTTCCTCCTCTTCCAGCCGCTCTTCGAAGAGATCTACCTCACCCTCTGCGACCACGTAGAGGGAGGGTGACTGTCCTCCCTCAGAGAACACGTGGATCATCTCCGCGTCATCAGGGACCACCTCCTGAAAGAGACCGAGCAACTCTGCAGGCACGCAGTCATCACTTTCGTTCCCATCCCCTTCTTCCACTGTTCCACTCGTGACTGCCAGCTTTTTCAAGGCCCGGGCTAGCCAGTAGGAATCGGGTCCTGCTGCCCCCTCATTCCCTGTAGCGCCGCCACTCTCTTTCCCGGGCAGCAGCAAACCTGCGTCAACGTCTTCTCCTTCCCATCTCACGGGTATTTCCTCCCCTAAACATGCCCCCTGAAGAAGATTCAGACTTTCCCTCCGGAGAGAGGCTACTCCACGGCCCAGAACACTGACGGGCTTGGCCGAGGCAAAGTCGGTGGGGATGTAGGTGTTGCTGGCTGGGTAGGCAGACAGGAGCCCCAGACGCTGATAAGCCGCGGCGACTAGCTCTGAGCAGAAGAGACCGCTGCCCATGTCTTCCTTGTTCTCGAACACGGACACCTCGGCGCCCTCCAACGCCCTCAGGGCCAGCAATCGCTGCCTTCGCGCCTCCTCCAACGCCTTGTCCAGGGCCCTTCTTTCCAAGGATGTGAAAGGCTGGCTTCCGCCAAGCTCCCTCTTGAGCC